AAACGTCAGCAATTGTGTTCTAATAAATTCTATATTAACAACCTCGTGTCTGCTTATTGATGAAAAACATTGAATTATGCAAAGGATGTTTGCTGGTAAGACGAAGCAATGCGATGGTCGACTAAATCCTTTTCGTGTCCACGTAAGGTGTTCTCCACCGACCGACCTGGATAAAGGAACAGAACTCGCTCAAATGACGAGAAAAATAACCGGAAGAGAAAAATCTTAAAAGCAGAGTAAAAGCGAACTGACGTAACTGTAGAAGAAATGATCAAAATCAATTTTTACTCTGATGTCCTTCGAGATAAGAGAGTCTTCAGAAATATATTAGTAAATATGGAATATACTTAAAGAAGCTCAAATACTTGAATTGACCAATTTCACACTTAACGGTGTGGACCTGACGACAATCGCTACCTTAATTTGCTTCATGTTTGAGGTGACACGAGGTTGGCATGGAACTTTTATTCGGTTAACCCTTCTGCGCCAACGCTTTCCTCAGAGCTGGCTTGCTCCGAGCCGACGGTAAAGATTAAGATATTCTCCACCTTGTTTTTGGGTCAAGATTTTTTTCCTTTGAGTCAGATGTACTATTCCAAGCCACAACCACATACATCCACCTCACATAAAAATTCGCAAATGCAAATTTATTTGTTAAGCTTTTTCTGCTAAGGTTACGAAAATGTTTGACTGAGTAGACCGCATCTCGATTTGACCTTTCCAGGCTCTGAAGAAGGCGAAATCGCCTAAACGCCAGTTATTGTATTCTAATAAATTCTATAATAACAACCTTATGTCTGCTTATTGAAGAAAACATCGAATTATCAATCAATGCCGAGGTTAACAGAAAGTCGGTCCTGGGAATTTCTTGACAATGGTTTATTCTCAGGTGTGTTACCGGACGGGAATATGGAAATTCTTTCCATTCCTGGAGGCCCTGTTTAAGGATATGAATGCATCGCTGTTAGTCAAGAATAGGTTGAAATCACGAATATGTGTTAGAAGAATACGGGTATTTAATCTAATTATATTAATTAAACATTCTTCTAAGGAAAAGAATAGTGAACAAATGAAATGAACAAGGCAACGAAATAATTAGAGATTCCGTCGGCAATCCTCTGTGCTCTGTGCTCCGATATGAGCGTTTTTTCCACGTCTTTAATCGTTGTTCTGTGTTTCGGAAGTAGCTGCATAGTTTGCTGGCTAGTTTATGACTGGTACAAGCTCTTCGTGTTCCTACTCAACTAGATGCTTTTCATAGAGGAAGATTTTCGTTGATGAACAGTGACGAACTAGTCAAAGATTTAAGTGGGTATGTCAGTCACTTCTTATTCGTCTACTGTCTAGCTTACTATGTCAGAGTCAAAAAATGTGGGGTGTTTTTAAAAAAAAATTGTAATATTTTGTGAAAAAGTTGGAAAGAAAACCACTAACATATTAACTTTCGTACGCTGTCTTCTTGTTAATACTATGAAAACTTTAATATGTGTGCAACAATAATGAGTTTTTATCCAAAATTTGTGCTTGGTTATTTAAATTTAGCAAAATTCTGTTCACGTAGACTTTAAAGGGCGCGTGTGGCGCACTGGTCGGAAGCGCCTTGCAACACACACGTGGAATGGATCCCCGTGCCCATGGCCTACCAAGCCTTCCATCTCACCGAGGTCGGGAAATTGGTACCAGACTTGTCTGGGAGGATAGCAGCGCTGGCTCGATACATCGGTAGGCCAACGCGAGTCATTTCAAAGGACAGATATGCTTTCAGTCACCTCCAAACGATGCTTAATGAAGTCGAATATGTGGCGCATCCCTCAAGGATTGATGAACGCCGAGAGCTTTATTCTTTTTCATCCTTTTTAGAAATTAAAGAAAGCTGTGAGGATAAAATATTAGCCTGATGGAGACCTACAATAGTAATTTTAGAAAAGGCATTGAAAGGTTGTTATAGCAAGGACTTTTCTGCAACAGAATTTAGTTGCTAGTATTAGCTGAAACTGAAATGGGAGGGAGAAACACTAAACTAGAAGACCATAATAGCGTTAACTTTTTTCACTAGTGCTTACGGAAGTGCTACTGTCTTCCAATATGTCTTAAAACGGAATTGTTCCAAAACTGAAGCTTTGTAATTAAACGACAATAGAAATACGCTATGGATATCAGACGAGGTGTATTCTTTACAGCTAACATAAAAGTGAGCGACGTCGTCTGCAAAAATATGAAGCCGATTCCATCTATGCACCACCTATCGACACGTTGTTCCGAATCTATGACAGGGAAACTAGCTCATATTCGATTTTTCCTTAAAGAGGCTTTTTTCTACGAAAGAAAGAGAGTTTCTTTGATAAATATGGATCATGTAAACGCGAAACAGTTCGAATTGTCTACTCGCTTCGATTAACCGTGAACTTCGACTCTTCTTTTTATCGCAGATTTTGGGTTTCCATCTATTTTTATTTTATTTTATATGACCAGTCTTCACATCTACTGTGCAGATACCACCACTTTTTACACTCGATTCGTCTCCTCACATCCGTTGTCCACGAAGATCTTCCAACTTTACGTGTGGGTTCGGTTACTGCTTGAGGATTTTCATTTCATCTTTAATGGTAGAATGCTGGTCGAGCAATTCTTTCTGGAGACCTGAGATAATCGGGCTACAGCGTTCCCAGTTGGATTGTAGAGAGTGATTTTTTTTCCTCAGACAAGTCCGGTACCAATTTCTCGAACCTGGAGGGATGAGAGTTGGCTTGGAGCGGAATCAAACTAGCATCATGCTCGTGATTGAGGACATCACTACCACTGTGCTTATCCGCTCCTTTCCATCTAATGAACACTGTAAATTTATTAGATATTGAAAGAAAGCTTACAAGTGCACATATCGATTATTTATCGAATATATTTATTGTTCAAAACATTACAATCAAAAAAATAACGGTTATTGTTGTGACTACTAAGGTTTTTAAATCAGAACTCAGTTCAGTCTCGCAGTTAATATCCCATCGTTCATCTCACTTTCGAATGATAGCGATCAGAGAGAGTATTATATTATATGTATTATAGTCCCTATTTCTTGCTACTTGCGCATTAGAACTCAACAAGTCATGTCTACAGGATTTTCTTTCACTTCTCCGATATTACCATGCACGTTGAAAAATGCTGGCATGCACCTAGACTTCCTTCGAAAACTTCGGATTTTAGATTGATCAAATGTTGACCGATAATATGGCTCTGTGACTTTCGACAATGGATCTTGGAGTGGCGCTGAGCAGAAATTCCACTTGATAATGTTCACATGCTCCTAGCCGACATCCAGGCTCACAGACCAGCTGACGCAACTAAACGAAAAAGATCTTTGTGTCCTTATTATCCTTACTAACATAAAATGTGTGGTAGCCCGAGCGGAACTTGATGTTCAACATTGGTTATCGATCCAACAATCTTGGCACAAAGTACTTAGCTGTCGAAGCATGGTCAAACTAACTTCAAGCCTGACTATTTTCATCATCGACACTATTTAACCTCATGTTCATAAACCAGACAGTGTATGCTTCGAACTACTCACAGAGCGCTTGAGCGATGTCTTCTGAAATATAACCGGCACTCTCAATATGTAACCGGAATGCGAAGCTCTGACCTTCGAAATCTGTCACATCTTCGAGATCCAGGAAAATATACATCGACAGAGAAACATAGATGGGCTGGTCACATAATGAGAAGAACAGACGATGGATGAAAAGAACAGTAGAGTGGACTCCAAGAGAGTTCAAACGTCCCATTGGACGACTACCTGCACGTTGGATGGACGTGTTCGGAAACAATGTTAATCACTTGTACCCGCAGCTGCTGTTGTTCTACAGATCACAGTATGAGACTCGCAAGCGCTGCCATGCTCGAACAAGACCACCACGATGGACTACGATTGCGAAAGAAAGAAACGAATGGCATATGTGCTGGAGTCCGCACAGCTGGTGAAGGCGGACCGGCCAACTATCCAAGTAAGTAAGTTCATAGGCCATCAGTGCAGGAAAAAGAAGAGCAAAAAGAATGAAGCTTGAAGCATTGATTCAATCCGTTGAAAACGTGTCATGACTTCAACCCATATCTGACTTGAATGAATGCACAATTCGCTCACACACTTACTTGATGGGTCCTCTCTATGTCAGGTCAGCAATTTTATTCCCTCACAGAACCCCTGTATCCAAATTTCCACCGATGGAGGGATAGAGCAAAGGTTGGTTTAGGCTTGAGATCGAACCAAAAACCAACTATTACGGGGCAGCTCTAGGCACTGCGCTGCGTGCGCCAAGTATTGAATAGGACGCACCAAAATATAACCTTTGAATCCGTTTTCTTTAATTTTTCACAAGTTACGTGATGAAATTTCATGAAAACTAACCAACATGTCCACACATTCGGCCCTCGCCATGTCAAGCCAAATTCGTGCCCTGACATCAGTATGACACGGCTCTCCACCCCAGAGAGCGATCTCGAGCACGTTTTTTGCCTTCGTCAGACTCGATGATTTATCTTCTTGCAATAAAGTAGCACAAGCCAGAAGCGCTCGTGAATATCCAGATCTAAATTTACAAAGTTGAACTGGAAATTTTGGTAAAATCAGAAAAAAATGGCAATCGAGTTGAGGATATTACGGGATCCTAGCGGGGGCATCTCTTTATCGCTACAGAGGTAGGTTTCAATATAGAGCAGGTCTTCATGATAGTTAAAATAAAGGAGTTGGAAATACACTGGACAATATGGCATCTGAAATGTTTCTTATCGACGACTTTAAAGAAACTGAGCAGTAGAAAGAGAATGAAGGCGTGGTTAACGAAGTCAGATGTAAGTGGCGGTGTACTGCCTCACAACCACTGAATCTTCGATGACCACCAATTCGGTGTGGATAAAAATTTCTTGCCTCGGTGCATAACTGATTCATTTCTATGAACTATCTTTGAACAAAGTTAAGGAAGTGATTGCTAACGAGACGAATAGATATGCAATACAGAAGGATATGATGTGGGAAGCGACAATTTTTGAAGAGATTAGAAGATACAATAGCTTCTACCCAAAAATGTAGGTCGTTAGACAACCATAACTGACGAATTATTGGAGTTTCAATGCTGCGCTTATTGTACCCCATGTTATGACGTAAAATATTTCCTGAAATCTACTGGCTAATCTTCACTTTGTCGACACAACGGATGACCGAAGAGGCAGGTTGTGTAAGGTTGGACTGGTAATCAAACTAATCAATAGGAATTCCAGCAAGATATAAAAATCTGGACAGCATATGTATATCAACGAATCCCTCGTGCGCTATAGAGGTAGACTCGCTTTTCGCAGTATGTCTCACAATAAAGCTCTCAAACTGTTCATGTTATGTACTGTAGATAGCTGCACTTACAAAATTTTCGTGTAATCGTAGCGAACCTTCTAAATTGATTCAGACCATAGTGGTAAAGCTTATGTACTATCAGTCGGATGAAGGAAAACGTTTCGCTGATTTATACAAAAGCTTTGTGGGTGAAAACCTACTTCAGATGTGGCCAACATTATTGGGCACCAAAGGGATTTTCCGAGTACGTCATCCACCTGAAGCTGATGAGAGAAAGACGGGCAAAACAACAGATTCGGTACGGTATGATGGTGTCGAAGTGGAAGCACGAAAAAGACACCATTATAAAATCTACAATTCCTAACGCAATTATCAGATGATTAAAACCTGCTACGAATAGAATAGCTTATAGATGGAAACGAATGGATGGTAAGTTTTCGCATGACTCTTCTCTCTCCCGATCACTCAGGCGTATTTGGATAACGATAACGTATTTAGATTTACAGTTACTACATGTGGAAAGCCTTGCTGAATTCATTCAAGATAACACCTATTTAGAAATCGCACCGCTAGCTTCCCGTTTACCTTAAGAACGCAGAACCAGTGGTGTGAGAGCACGGAGGCGATGAGGACGATGACGATGTAACAAGGATGTCAAGATACACTATTGTTTTGATTGTTTCAACACTTTCAACACTCATAACACAAAGTGTGCATCTTCGACAAGGTGTGCAAGTGTGCTGTAAAAATTTCATGCATTTGAGAATCGAAAGCTTTAGGTTAAAGTTGTTTGCTGTAAGCAAGAACTGAATGTTGTAGGTGAAAAATCTAGGTATGAAATGAAAATTGGACGCACATTTCGTTAGTTCTATGTGGTACTTGCAAACTGCAGGTATGGATCAATAAATGAGTGTTCTTGACCACAAAGGTCAATAAACCAGTAGAAGATTCTGGTAATAAGACTTAAAAATTGTCTCTAAAGACAAACTGTCTTGAGGCACACTGTGAACGCATACTCTGTGAACATCGAGAACTTGTCATCAAGGCTGATTTATTCTGATCTATCACCTTTCATAGCGAAAAGCTGCCACTGATTGACGAACTTTAGTGTTTCAGTAGAGGCACTAATCTGTGAGGATGCGTGCTCTTTATCGACAACATTCTCTTAAAGCAAAATAAACACCAATAAACAGGTTCAAACAAGTTCCCAGGATCGACTTTCTATTAACCTCGGCATTGGAATATGAATTCGTCGTTTTCTTGTTCAACAATCGCGAGGTTCAAGACACCTAGATGGCAAACGAAAATCAAAACAAGGCACGCTACTAAGGAGGCATAGGATACAAAACATAGCGGAGACGATTTTGAAGTAAAAATCAATATCCTTGCACAGGAGTCCAAAACACCAGCGCGAAAACTCCTTGAGGCTTTTTGGATCAATGCCAAAACCCTACAATGAATAGCAGGGATGAATGCCCGGAGGTCATACGCGACCTGATCCCGTACGTTCGCATCGATTTTTGATGTGGGATGGTGCAGTCGTCAACCACATGCGACTATAAACAGCTCTTCTAAACTTCCTCATTGGAAGTCACGAAAAAGCAGTGTTTTTCGAGAAGTTGTTGATTATGTAATTACCATAGCGTTTTTTCGTCTTTTTGTAAGTGTTATTGAAGCGTTTGGCCTAGTAGATTGCATATCAGTATACCATTCCAGGCCCTGAGGAAGGCCATACTGCCGAATCGTCAGCTAGTGTCGTATTGTATTGTATTTTTTTTTCAGAGCCAATGGAAGAAAAATATATTTATCAACCTCGTGCAAGCTTATCAAGAAAGAATGCGTATTGTATTGTGTTTTTCTATGGAAGTAAATGTATGCTGTTTAACAACCTCGCGAATGCAGAACAAGAAAACGACAAGTTCAAAAAAGTTTTTTTTCTGAACTCTTTAAAGGCAAAAATTTCGGCAAAAACCTTTTTGCTAGAAAAAATCTCTAGAGGAAAAATGCATTAGGCGGAATACACAACGCCCACTTTATTCTCGTGCATGCATTGCACACAGTGTACCTAAAGCCTTCTTTCTGCAAATTTCTGCCACAGTTTTTAGTACTCTGAGAAGGAAGCATGTCGAGATTAAGAACATCTGAGAATTCTTTTTGTTCATTAAACTGCGCAAATAGCGGTTCACGTACAGGTTGAAATGTTACTGTTGATTCTAGCAAGGCCATTGCCTTAAGCTCGCTCGAAAATATCATTTTTTTAACGCTCGAAACACGGTGTCACTGCCTCCTAAAATAACCTTTCAAAGACCATACCGTAATTGAATTGGAGGTGGTTTTCCGTCCATTCTATGTCTGAGCAGAGTACAGAGCGCCCTCATAGCATATCGGCACAACCCTACCATTTCGTCACCACCGCTCTCGATCTCCGCGCCAAAGGTTTCCTGTTAAAGTAGCTACTAAGGAAATCTTGCATTAAAAAATCAACTGCTTAAAACACTCGGGTTTTAAATAAAATATAATGTTTTTTGAATTAGTAGCTTAAAATGAGCCCATATCTCCACTGTGATAGAAACTAACAGGCAAGAAAATCAGTCGTGGAAACTCCAACGTCTCTTGCTGTGAATCCGGCGCAAAACGGTATGCGAGAAGGAACTCCTAGATAAAAATTTTGATGATAATCTTTTGCACGAACGGCTAGTAAATGTAGTCCGAAGTCCTTCTTAAGCATAAATCTTGAATTCAGATAACGTTTACCTTAAAATTGGTGCTTAGTAGCTCCACACCATCACTTTGAAGCATCTTCAGAGCAGTAAGAAGCTGTAGGAGGATGAAAGATACTAACTGTTCATGAGCAGTACTGTTTATTCTCTGGAATCCCAAACTTATTGAAAGGTAAAAAAAGCGTAAAAATGAAAAATAAGAAGGCGAAAACGAGACGGCAGACCTCGTTCAAATGATGTGCTGCGAGAGTATGAAAAGAACAAAGGTTTAATCGAGGCATGGCGATGACCTGCAATATTTAGCTTGGGAAATACGGTGACTACGGTGATACAGAACTCTATCTGCAGGTTCACATCTCATTTACTGTTATCAATTCTACTTTTCTTCATGAATTTGTGACTACTTGCTACGTCCGTTCGTAGTCATTCAATATTGATCCTTCACAAGTCTCCACCACATTACACTATTATAACGCTTAACTTTTTTACTCACTGCCTACTGTCCTTACCGGGGAGCAGCGCACTTCACCACCACACCGTCCGGGTCCTTCGTCTTGCCTGTCTCTCAGCTAGTTCTATCGATCTTTTTGCCATCAGCAATCACCCGTCAACGGGATTGATCTGGGGAGCCCAAATTGGCATTGAATCCAGTTAAGCTGAGGCCCAGTTATTTACTGCCTCTTTCTTCATAATGGCAGGGTATGTTGCGAAATATAACTCGTATGAAATGCTGAGATATTAAAGGGTTAAGATTGTGATTATAACTAAGCCTCAGCTTAACTGGGTTCAATGCCGATTTGGTCTCCCCAGATCAATCCCGTTGACGGGTGATTGCTGGTGGCAAAAAGATCGATAGAACTAGCTGAGAGACAGGCAAGGCTAATGACCCGGATGGTGTGGTGGTGAAGTGCGCTGCTCCCCGGTAAGGACAACAGCGCGTGTTCGTTCCCTACTGCATACACCTGCGGTCCGGGGTTTTGCAAATATCTCAGCATTTCATACGAGTTACTGCCTACTGTTTTTTTCAGGGCAGAGTGTTATGCGAAATACAACCACAATGATGCTAAGATAATTGCACAACTCGAAGCTGCGCAGCAGCTTCGGACCCGGGATTATTTCTTCCGAAGGTGCACATGGTATCCCACAGCGCCACCGATGTCCTTTGCTTTGCTTATTAAAAAAATAATACGCAATAAATACGAGGTTAAACATTGTGATTCCGACTGCTTCTTCAGCTTAACTGGGTCCATTGCAGATTTGTGCCTCCCAGATTATTCACGTTGATGGGTGATTACTGATAGTAACGTTAGGGTAAAGAAAAACTGACCAGGAGAAAAGTAAGGGCCTCAATGGTGCAGTAGATAAAACGTGAGTCCACGGAAAGGCTAATCGCTGAGTCAAAGCTGCCTGGGGTTCCGAATTCTACAAATATCTCAGCAACGTTGTGGTTATATTAATGTGTCGTTTTCTTGTTCAGCAATCGCGAGGTTTTTAAACAGCATACATTTACTTCCATAAAAACACAATACAATACAACGCTAGCTGACGTTTCGGCAGTATCGCCTTCTTCAGAGCCTGGAAGGGTATACTGATATACAATCTACTAGGCCAAACGCTTCAATAACACTTACACAAAGACGAAAGACTCTTTGGTAATTACACGATCAACAACTTCTCGAAAAACCCAACGCTTTTTCGTGACTTCCAATGAGGAAGTTTAGAACAGCTGATTATAGTCGCATGTGGTTGACGACTGCACCATCCCACATAAAAATCGATCCGAACGTACGGGACCAGGTCGCGTATGACCTCCGGGCATTCATCCCTGCTATTCATTGTAGGGTTTTTGGCATTGATCCAAAAACCCTCAAGGAGTTTTCGTGATGGTGTTTTGGACTCCTGTGCAAGGATATTGACTTTTACTTCAAAATCGTCCCCGCTGTGCTTTTGTATCCTATGCGTGCCTAGTGGGGTGCTTCGTCTTAGTTTTCGTTTGCCATTTAGGTGTTCTTTTATACGGATACACAAAGGTCTGCCCGTTTCGCCAATATATTCATCTCCGCAATTGTTACACGAGATCAGGTATATCGTACCTGAACTCATGCAATCACCGTCCCTGCCGTAAGGGCAAATTACGCAATTTGTTGTTTCACACAGACGGTCATACAGGCGGTTGCGCATTAATTGGCGACGTAGAGTAGTCGGTGGTATTTCAGCTATCGCTACCGATTCCTCTAGACCTGCCCTTCTTAAGCATCGTTTTATAGCTGCGCTTACTTCATCGCTTATAAAAGGCAACATAAACGGAATTTTGTTTTGGCCAAGTGTTTCGCGTGGGCGCGTCGTTCTCCTTGTAAACTTATCTAGTGGGGTTACTATTTCGTAGCCATTGGAGATGGCTATTTGCCGAGCCAAGTCGCGCGATTCTTCCTTTAGTTCCCTGGTAGTGCACACAGAGGTGGCTGTTCGAAACATGTTTCTCACAATCGCCCTCTTTGTGTGTGAAGGGTGGGAAGAAAGCAAAAAATGAACAAGGATGTTCTTGTTACTTGGCTTTCGATACCACTTTGTCAGGTAACCGCTACTTGATAGGTTTATTTGGACGTCCAAAAACGGAAGCCAGTTTTCTCTCGGTTTCTCCCGGGTGAACTTCATGTACTCAGACTGCTCCTTCAATAATTCAAAGCATTTGTCCATCTCCTCCTGCGTAGAGAAGATGACAAAACAATCATCTACATATCTGCAGTAGAGTAGTGGCCGGAGATCGAGAACAGAGGCTTCTATCTTATTCCACATGGTTGTGGTTATATTCCACATAATACAAAATTGTACTCATTCTCTGAAATGAAATCGAATAGACGTAGGATTGAGCTCGGCGTCATATGAATCGACGATTATCAAGGACTGATCATTCCGTGACTCGACGTGCCGTTAGCAGATCCGTCTGTTATATGCCGTAGAATGGTTGTTATGTATGCACAGAAACGCTATGGGTGTGAGGAGCTTCCAACGGCCATTTTCGCATCGACTGAATAGGGCAACTTTTAAGGGTGAATGTGAGAAAAGTAAGATATTTCACTCTGGTGATACTTCAACGATTTGCCCTGAATTCATTTCGTTTCGATATGTTCCATTCTTCTGATTTGTTTTTGGAACTTGCAGTAATTTCCTAGCCCGAGATTCTATTATCGCCGCATTGGTCAATAATTCAGAGTTTTCTTGATAAGCTTACGCAAGTTTGTTACTTTACCGACTGCCCTATATCGCACGTAATCTCACACAACATCTCAGACTCATATTTCGATGTAAAAGACGCATGTTACCCTTTCATGTTAGCCCAGTGTGTGCGGTTGGATTCCACTTGGAATACTCAGTGGAAGGCTCATGGAAAGCGGTGTGTGTGAGGAAACTGTTTTGCTTCCAATGCGATTGAAATTGAAATAGGTTTCTTGGTTTTCCTTTGGGGTTATAGAGGCGCATAGATGACTATATTCCAGTCGGCTTGACCTTTCCAGTTTCTGAAGAAAGCGAAATTCGCCGAAACGTCAGCTTTTGTGTATAGAAAGCATATTAACAACCTTTTTCTTCTCTATCAAAAAAAACAGCGAATTTTTTAGAACGTTCCTTGCAAGAATGGCTGTCCTTTATCCGATATATAGTCAGCGCTTCTGATAGCGACTTCATACATAACTTGGAGGCGATACAGAGCAGATGAGATGATGGTCGTTGAAGACGAACTTGTTCTTACTTGTGCTAGCATTGAGTGTTGCTATTTGCTTGAAGCGATTGAAAAGAAGTGGGGCTACCGTTCCAATTTTTTCTTCACCTCGACACAATTACCCACGACACAAGTAAAGTACCGCTTTTTTATTACTTTGTCCCTCCTCTTGCTATCGATACATCAACAGTGAAATCAGTAGTTTTCCCACTAATTAGTCACTGCTTTTGTACCACAATTCCTAAGTTAATCCTATAACGGAAAGCAATTTCAAAGCTCATCTGGTCTAAATGAATAGAAACTTCACCTTTTTGTGACGTCCATCAAGATTCGGAGTGCCAGTATCATGAAGGAACTTTTTCACGGAACCATCTATATCTTCCAGTTCAAGAAATCCCGGCAGCATGAAGAGTTGCGAACTACTACGACGCATGAGAGGAGCGTATTGTGAATATGATGCTATCTTCAACAGCATTAGTTGACTAACCGATTGCTCTTTCCGTTTTAATAAAAAGAACAACGAACTGGCGGAATGGCACTAATCGTCACAGATTAGAATGTTTTTACTTTTTAAATTCTCTCACCATAAGTGTAACAAGATAGTCTGAGTTTCCTGGACGAGGCAATAAGGCGTTGTAGAACAGACTCTTTCCTTTTGTTAGCATCGGATGCGGAGAGGTGATAATGAAATGCGAGAATTCGAGCTGACCTATCTGATTCCGCGATACCGGCTCCTCGCCTCGTCTGCAGAAATGTGTCAGTTTCCTCCACATGCAATACCTCCATATGTCTTATTGCATGAATTTTTTGCGATAAAGTTCTAGAACTTTGTAAAAGACCCATCTATGGGCATTAGAAAATTTTGTTCTTTGAATTTATTCTTTTGTAAACTGTAAATTATTTAAGGCTTTAAACACGTAATACTGACTTGGAAAATAAGGAAGAACTGTCTTCAAGATTTCATAGCTTTGTTTAGAAAAAAACCTTTCATGAAGGAGAACTACAGGAGTTATTCGCTGTGCATGGCCAGCTGCTTGATGCTCTTTTTCCAAAGGTGTAAAACCCAAAAAAGGCTAGCGATATTATTTTCGAACTATACTTGATCGTTCAATGCCTAGGAACGCATGTGAGCGGTTTCACCATCAAATAAATAAGTGGAAGACCTTAAAACTCGCAAAAAGTGATCATGGGTGACACAACTTCTTAAACAAGTTGCGAAATCACCTTAGAAAAAATCCTCTAACTTCTGCACAAGTGGTGCTATGAAGGGGATTTTTGATGTGTTTTGAACGGTTTAGGATTTCATGACGGACTTTTTATTAGCTCCAGTATTGGTCAACTAGGTCAACGCACAGGGTACAAAGAAACAAGAAAGAAGATTATGAAGCAAAAGTTACTACCCTCCCACAAGAATCTGAAACACCACAAATCCAGTAATGAAGAGCGAGGAGTAACTTATGTTCACCCGTCCTCTCGATGAGTGTTTAAAATAAGCTGTCAATAACGCAAACGGGATTTAGGTATTGAGTTTTTCTCCTTCTGAGGAATTGGGAGCACTTGGCTGGGTTGACAACGTGTCAATGTGATGTTTCCAAGCTCTGAAGAAGACGATACCGCCAAAACGTCAGCCCTTATTGAACAAACAGTGCAGTAACAACTTTGTGTTTGCTCATCAAGAAAACGGTGCTTTAGGACTCGTTTTTATGGAGTTAACCTATAAAGGTATTGTGTACAGCGGCCACGACTTTAAAATCGTCTAAAAAACATAACGGAGATAAATACTATCTAAAGCACAAAATAGCAACGTTGAGATTTCTGCAAGACAGCAGGTGTCAACGGTGGGAAACGAATGCCCTATTACTCTTCCCGGAGGTTAATGTGTTCACAACAACACCATCCCGGTCCTTCGTTTCGTCTGTCTCTCAGCTATTTTTCTATCTACCAGGGCTATCAGCAATCACCCGTCAACGGTATTGATATGGGGTGAGTAAATCGGCATTGAATCCAGTTAAGCTGAGGCTATAGTTGAAATCACAATGTCTACTTTTTATTTGCTGCCTGTTACAATTTTTCACGACAGGAATAGAGGCGTGTGAATAGAAAACTAGCTGAGGGATAGACGAAGCGAATGGCCCACATGCTGTGGTGGTGAACGCGTTAGCCCCTGAATGGGCAATAGCGCGTTCATTCAGTTTTGCAAATATCTCAGCATCATTATGGTTGTATTTCACACAATGCCCTGCCATCAAAAATTGTAGTAGGAAGGAAGTGAAAAGTCAATACTATCAAAAGTTTTAAAAAACCTCTTCATTTTGCTGGTTTCGATTTATCTCTTCACCACTACTCTCATGGAACCCACTGACATTATGAGAATGATCACAGTTCTCAGAAGCAGCTCTCGCATCTCATATTCAGTGCGAGATTTCTGCAAGAAATGTTTTTTGTGTAGGCAATGAAAAACGGAACTCCAGATATTGGCAAGGATTGCATCATGAGCGTTGTTCACACGATTTTCTCCATTCTTGTCGAGCAAACGCAAGACGTTATTTCATTCCTTATTAGGGTAAAAGTGTTGTTTGCTCACATGGTTGTCTAGGACTATGCAGGGACTTTTTGTATTCGGTGCAAACTAATACAAAACTCAACTATTCGTCCTTTACCTTCATTTAAAATTAATTTTGTAAAGTCTCACTGTGAATTAATTACTTTTTCAACCTGTTAATAAATATTGGAATAAATAGTATGCGAATGTTCTTTGTGTAGCTAACGGTGGAAGTCTAGTAAAGAGCTGCTAACCTCATATCGTTGGCGAGGCGGTCAGCAACCATGGACAGTGTCTGCACGTTGGATAGGGTCATCTCGAAATATTCGAAGTATTAACAAACAAAAATTCACCATGACGACAACAAAAAATCTTACATGCCCAACACAACAAAACATTCGACATCCTATTAATTGAGATATTGGTTGCCGTATGAGTCACACGTTTTGTTTTCTTTTGTGATCACATATAGTTATAAATATATGAATATTTACAATTATATAATTGCAATTACATTTTTTGTGCCAAAGCGTTCCATATTTTGTTCGCGCATTATTAATGAATTTACAACTTGTATCATCGTTATTCCTCTCAATGGTTTACCGCCTCATCGTGGCTGGGAGGAGTTCCTGGGTGTCGGATTTCGATGTACAGCGGTGGGATTCGTCCCGCCGGCAGGGGCTCCCAAGCTGAGGAGTCCGGCGCTTCCATTAGAAAACCTAGTTAAGAGTAAACCAATACCAAGATCCGCCACCGTCTTGGTATTAAAGTCGCATGGTGGCAAATCTCCCTCTGATCCACAAAGGCCGGCGACTGACTGTGATGGTTAAGACTTGGGCCAGACTGTCTTCGGGACTCCAGGGAACCACAGTGGCTTAACAAGCAAATCTCTGAAAAATGGAGATTATGCTAGGGTCCGCACAACCAGTGAGGACGGGCCGTTCAACTATCAAGCATCAAGTATCAAGCATCATTGTTATTAAAGGATGGATAGCACAGTAGTAGTGATGCCGACCATCAAAGGCATACTGCTAGTTCGACTCTGCACCGGGCCCACCAAACGACTTAGCGATCCGAAGTTGGGAACTAGTATCAGTTCAATCTCCGTAATCAAAGTGTAAACGCTCTAGCCCGCCTATCTTACGACTTCAGGGAGAATCGACTCGGCCAACATTCTTCGTCAATAATAAGGAAGACATTGTCAAGCAGGACGCGAACCCATCTGCGAAAAATTGGAGTGGCTTCGCGGATGACGGGCGCGAGAAAACAAATCGAATGCAAGAAGTGCTGCAATACGCAAAGTAGATGTGAAAGACGAGCAATACGAATAATAATAATAATAATAATAATAATAATAATAATAATAATAATAATAATAATGACAATAATAATAATGACAATAATAATAATAACAATAATGGTGATAATAATAATAGTACCAATAATCGCCTATTTTTCACATTTACGCATGTATTTATGCCATACATGGTAATGCACCAATCTATTTAGTTAGTACATGGTTAAGCTTGAAGTCCAAAATGTTAATGTGAAAAAGGCGGAATTTGAAAAACAGATGTCGGTGCGCATTAATCGATATTTATGTTTTCCACTGCTTAATAAACATCATTTTCTACGAGCATCGCCATATACAATATTGGCGCGTGTGGCACAGTGGTCGGAGGGGCCCTGCAATACACATGGGATCGATTTCCGCGCCCATACCCAACAGCCTTTCATGCCTCCGGGGCCGGGAAACTGATACCGGACTCTTCTGGGAGGATATCACACCGGCTTGATACATCGGTAGGCCACGGCTAGTCATTCTAAATGCTAGATATGCATTCAATCATCTCCAAACGATGTTTAATGAAGTCGAATGCATGGCGCATCTCTAAGAGATTGAGCAACGCTGAAGGCTTTTTACAGCTTCATTACCATGTATGAATGCTACGTATTCGTAACTTTTAAAGACTTTTTCTGTTGAATTTCAACTAATCAACCTGATGGTAGAGTTTATAGAGTTCATCTGGATTGTCGATCATCTGCTTCTCCGGGGAGACCTTGTTCGAAGAATCTCTTGCCGTATTGCGCACCGTCTCGCCCGGCATGAAGAACGGAACTGGGTGCAAAGTAACTCGAGAACCTAGATTTTTACTGTGATCTTTTCACAGAATTGTCATTTTTGGACTCCTGAATAGAACACTGAGATGGAAAAGCTCATGATCTTCTTCATTTTATTTATCCCTACACAGTTAAGTTTCTGCTTACTATCTTTCATGTTAGGTATAATCGAAACAAAACGCTAGAGAAGTTAAGCTCAGCAAATTAGTAGTTAGGTAATCGAAGAAGTATCGACTAAGTTTAAATACCTAACTCAGTAAATTCACGAGTAAAATTTGAAAAAAAACTGAGTTGGAACAAAATATTCCGGTAACGTAAATTATATCATAAAACTAAAGGGAAAACACATAATTTAATATTCACTACGAACCGGACTTGAGTGTTCGAATAGGCGATGTGGAAAAACTCGTCGTGGATTGTTCATCCTTGGAGCGACTTCCTCTCGTCAACATATTCGGAGGTGTGTTGGTGCCCATACCTGCTAGCACTTTCTGACAACTGCCATCGGATTGATCCTGCAAGTGCAGAATTAATATAGAGATATTTTGTTACACATAATGGCGAGGCATTTTATAACTTCTCATAACATGGCTAAAAGACCAATGATGATATCAGGTCTTCAAAAAATTACTTTCAGATTTGTAATCTCATTTTTCCTGCATTTCTTATGGAGCAATTTTCTTTTCTGAATGCTATACATAACTGAATAAAATACAAGCTGTGTCTTCTTTCTACAGATTTCAACATTACAATTTCGGATGTCACAACAGAAATCCCAACAAATCTATTACAAATTCAAACCCAAACATGGTGTAATGCAGACTGTTGGAAACGCGACAGGGTTATGAAGCCAAAGAACTGTTAGTGAAAACGCAGTGCAATTTTGATTTGGAAAATTTCGTTGTGGTGAGCTCGACGTTGAAGTTTAGAGGGGTAACAGACGTACACCTGCTACTTGAAATACTGAACTGAACGGCGTAAGTCTGAAGTATTGCCGGCGTCTCTTTTGCGATCGTCTACATCTGGGAACGATTGGCCAAGTGGTTTCAGGGAGATAAAGCACCGCAGCAATTCCGAATGGCGAAATTCCACCATAACGAGGTAATTTTG